ATTCAATCTATAACAGTGAAAAAGTTTTTGGGTTTTAAATGCAAGCTATTGTGACACCAGTGAGTGAGTGGTGGCACTGGGCACAGTATCCACTGTGGGCCTGACACACCCGCTTTAAGGACACTGACTGCTATTCAATCTATAACAGTGAAAAAAGTTTTTTGTTTTTAAATGCAAGCTATTGTGACACCAGATATGAGTGGTGGCACTGGCTGGGCAAATGGGCACAGTATCCACTGTGAGCCTGACACAGAAGCTGGCAGCAGTGGCAGACAACTAACTGCTATTCAATCTATAACAGTGAAAAAGGTTTTTTGTTTTTAAATGCAAGCTATTGTGACACCAGTGATTGAGTGGTGGCACTGGGCACAGTATCCACTGTGAGCCTGACACTCCTGCTTTAAGGACACTGACTGCTATTCAATCTATAACAGTGAAAACAGTTTTTTGTTTTTAAATGCAAGCTATTGTGACACCAGATATGAGTGGTGGCACTGACTGGGCAAATGGGCACAGTATCCACTGTGAGCCTGACACAGAAGCTGGCAGCAGTGGCAGACAACTAACTGCTATTCAATCTATAACAGTGAAAAAAGTTTTTTGTTTTTAAATGCAAGCTATTGTGACACCAGTGAGTGAGTGGTGGCACTGGGCACAATATCCACTGTGAGCCTGACACACCCGCTTTGAGACAACTAACTGCTATTCAATCTATAACAGTGAAAAAAGTTTTTTGTTTTTAAATGCAAGCTATTGTGACACCAGTGAGTGAGTGGTGGCACTGGGCACAGTATCCACTGTGAGCCTGACACACCCGCTTTAAGGACACTGACTGCTATTCAATCTAGAACAGTGAAAAAAGTTTTTTGTTTTTAAATGCAAGCTATTGTGACACCAGTGAGTGAGTGGTGCACTGGGCACAGTATCCACTGTGAGCCTGACACACCTGCTTTAAGGACACTGACTGCTATTCAATCTATAACAGTGAAAAAAGTTTTTTGTTTTTAAATGCAAGCTATTGTGACACCAGATACTGGGCAAATGGGCACAGTATCCACTGTGAGCCTG